GTGAGTTTAAGGCCAGCCTGAACTACATAGTGAGACTCTGTCTCAAAAAAACAAAAAAAACCAGAAATGAATATATATAATTTTTTTTTTTTGTACCGGGGATTGAACTCAGGACCTTGCACTTGCGAGGCAGGTGCCGGAACCACTGAGCTAAATCCCCGGCCCCTGAATGTATATAATTGAAATTTTTCTCAGTTTTAACTTCTAAGATAGTAAACATCAGTAGAAAAAACCAACATGAACAAAGGCTCTTTGGGATCCCCAATTTATAACTGGGTAAATACACATGCCTGCAATTCCAGCACTTGGGAGGCTGAGGCAGGAGGACTGCTGTGAGTTTTAGGCCAGCCTGAAGTACACATTGAGACCTTGTCTTAACCTCCCAACCCCCCTCCATCACTATAATTAAATGAAAGCTGGGTACAGTGGCACCTGCCTGTAATCCCAGCCAAAACGTGGGAGGATTATGAGTTCAAAGCCAACCTAGGCAATCTACTGAGACCCTATCTCAAAATAAAGTTAAAAAGGGCATGGATGTAACTCAGTGGTACAGTGCTTAGCCAGCATGTGCAAGGCCTACCTAGGCTTAATCCCCAATACTGAGGGAGCAGGGTGGAGGGGGAAGGACAGACAAAAGTATAAAGGAAAATGCCACCTGGTGGAAAAAAGCTACCACAGCAACTTATTTGCTAAGATCTCTAATAACATGTCATATTGTTAGAAACTTTATATATTTAAGGCAGAAAGTCAAATTAAGGGTTAATGATTTTAATCTTTAGCTGGGCCTGGTGGCGCCCACCTGTAATCCTAATACTTGGGAAGCTAGACAGGAGAATCACTGCAAGTTCAAGGCCAGCTTGGGCTACACAGTGAGTTCAAGGCCACCCTGAAATACATCACGAGACTGTCTTTAAAAACCAACAAGGGCTGGGGATTTAGCTCAGTGGTTCTGGTGCCTGCCTCACAAATGCAAGGTCCTGAGTTTGATCCCTGGTACAAAAACAACAACAGGGCTGGGGATTTAGCTCAGTGGTTCCACCCCCTGCCTCGAAAGCAGAAGGACCCGAGGTACCAAAAAAACAAAAACAAAAACAAAAAATATTCACATTTAATCTAGAGCCAGGGATTTAGCTCAGTGGTCTCGAGGCCTGCCCTGCTGCGTAAGCGCAAGGACCCGAGTTTGATCCCCATTACCAAAAAACAAAAAAACAACAAGGGCTGGGGATTTAGCTCAGTGGCACCATGCCTGCCTCACAAGCCCAAAGTCCTGAGTTCGATCCCTGGCACCACAAAAAACAAAAAAAACCCAAAAAAACAAAAATAACAACAACAACAAGAATTTTAATCTTTAAAATAATCAATAAAGTTAATTAAAATTTAAATGTGCCAGAAAAGTTCTGGATTTGACGTACAAGCTTCTACCTTGAACTTTGTGATGTAAACTCAGGCAGGAGGACATCAGGTCCAGGAGAACCATTGGAGCCTCATGCTGGGGACTGCTTCCAGTCACTGGGGATGGCCATGGGGACTCTCCACGGTGACCTCTGGCATCCACAGGGACTAGAAGACATCTAAACTGGTAGGCTCTGTCTAAACCCTCTGATCACCCCCCCCCCCAAAAGAACTAAATCTAGTCACTTAGAGGGCTGGATTTTGTGTTCTGACTTTTGAGGCCTGCCTAACAGGAACAGAAATTATTACATGAAAACTTCTTTGCACAGTAAGACTTGAAATTCAAATGACTGAAGGAGGAACAGCAAAGCACACAGGTCAAGGGGTAAGTCTGAATGACAAGTCTTTCCAGCCTTGCTGTAGGACTAGAAAGGGATGGCTGAGCATAAGACACATTCACAATCTTCTTAAACCTGCCTTTTCAGGTTTTTCCCCCTATTCTTTTCTTTTCTTTTTTTTTTTTTGGTACTGGGGATAGAACTTGGGACCTTGCGCTTGCTAGACAGGTGGCGGCACCACTGAGCTACATCCCAGGCCCTCCCCTATCCTTTATTAACTGCTCCAAGACAGACAGACAGTAAAGCCTGCTATATTTTTCATGGGTCCCTTTTCATAAATGCATCTTTCCTCAAGAATTCATTGTTGGGATCACAGCACTCTAGAAGGGGTGACAGTCAGGTACATGCACCCAACACACCAGGCAACTCCTCCACAAGGCTTTAAGCAAGAAAGCAACAACTGTACACGTGAAGACTCTAGGTCCCACAAATCCTCTTTTATCTCCACAACTCAAGCCCTACCACTTGACTTGTTTTATATGCAGGCTCTAAGGTCCACACATCCCAAATCTTACGACAAAAGACTACTACTACTGTACTGTGGTTTTCTTTTTGTAGCCTGAATAGAGTAGGACCATGTTTGAAGTGGCCCACAAGTCTGTCCATACTCTCCTGCCAGGAAAATCTGGGAAGTTTGTAGGCCTGATTTTTTTACTCTGCACAGAAAATAGCTTGCATTTAATTTCTAGGGTTCATATTTTCTTTCTCTTGCATGCTAGTGTCAAATCATTCTCTGTCTTGGATCGCCACAAGTTTGAAGCCAGCCTGGGATATGTAGTGAGTTCAGGGCTAGCCTGAACTACAAAGTGAGACCCTATCTCAAAAAAAAAAAAACTCTCAAGAGCTGGGGATTTAGCTCAGTGGTTTCTCCGCCTGCTGTGTAAGCACAAGGACCCGAGTTCGATCCCTGATACCAAAAAATAAAAAATAAAAAACAAAAAACCAAAACCAAAACCAAAAAAACCCCTCAAAAAACCCCCCACACAAATCATTGTCTGCCTGCCTGCCTGTCTGCCTCTGGCCCTGGAGATTGAACCCAGAGGTGTTCTCCCACTAAGCTATATCCCCAGCCCTTTTATTTTGAGACAGAGTCTTGCTAAGCTATCCAGGTGGGACTCAAATTTGTGATCCTCCTGCCTCAGCCTCTAAAGTGTGAGACTTCAGGCATGTGCCACTGTACCAACCTCTAAAATTACTGTTTTGGTAAAATGTGTTTTTATCTGGGCCGGAGATTTAGCCCAGTGGTTCCGTCCTCTGCCTTGAAAGTACAAGGTCCTGAAGGGGTCGGGGATTTAGCTCAGTGGTTCCGCTGCCTGCCTCACAAGCACAAGATCCCGAGTTCAATCCCTGGTACCAAACAAAACAAAAAAACAGACAAACACAAAAACAAAACAAGAAAGCGCAAGGTCCTGAGTTTGATCCCCGGTACCCCCCCAAAAAAAGTATTTTTATCTGAATCATCCAGGGCCTTTCATGATTCCTTTGAATGTGCACACAACTGTACCAAACCACAGAAACAGTCCAAATATGGAAAAGCTTACACTGTATTTTCAGATATGCCACTGGCCCTTCATATATGTGGGATTTGCATCTATGGTTTCAACTAGCTGCTGACTGAAAATATTTTTTAAAAAATTGCAGCTACAGGCTAAGACAGAAGAACTGCAACTTTAAGTGGAGCCTGGACAACTTAGCAAGACCCTATCTCCAAAAAAAAAAAAAAAAAAAAGTCCTGGAGAGGTAGGTCAGTGAGAAAGCCCCTGGGTTCAATCCCCAGTAACAAACCTTCTCAAAGAAAAAAAATTCTGTACCTGAACAATCCCTACATAATACAGTGTAACAATTACTTGCACAGCATTTACACTGTACTAGGTATTATTAGCTATTATAAGTAACCTAGAAATGATTTCAAGTATATGGAGGAGTTAGGCATAGTGGCACATGCCTGAATCCCAGCACTCTGGGGTGACGAGACATGAGGGTTGCAAGTTCAAGCCCATCTTGGGCAATTTAGCAAGACCCTGTCTTAAAACAAAAAATAAAAAAGGACTAGGGATGCAGCTTGGTGCAAAAACCGTTTTCAATCCCTGGTATTGTGAAAAAAGAAAAAAAAAAGAAAGGAAGAAAAGTATATGGGAGGATGTGCCTAAGTTATATGCAAATATTATACCCTTTTATATAAAGGGTGTGAACATCTGCAGATTTTGGTATCTATAGGACATGGGACTATGGTGTCCTGAAACCAATCACCATGGATGTTGAGAGACTACTTTTTTTTTTTTTTGGTACTGGGGATTGAACTCGGGTTCTTATGCTTGCAAGGCAAGTGGCGGAACCACTGAGCTAAATTCCCAGCCCAGTTGGTTTAGTCTTTTTCTTTGGGGGAAAAATGTTTGTCTGCTTAGAACAATTCCTCAAAAGGTGTATACGTTTCCAATGCCCAGGACACAGCACAATTTAACCATCACAACTGGGCATCACTGTAAGATCACTAAGGAGTATGACAAGAATCACTACTAATTACTCTCAGCTGCCAGTGATAAACTTCTGAAAAGAAATGGCTATGTTGTTTAAAAAAAAAAAAAAAGCCATTCTGCATGGTTTGCCCAAGAGTAGAAGGGGACACCCCTGGGAAAACAAGGATTGGGCATAAGATCCCCAGTAGCTGGAGTAAGGCCTCAGGTTGGCCTGATCCTGCTAGAGTCCTTCCTCATTTCTAGATGATTTAGAGAAGCCAGAATACATAAGGCAGCCCTTATACCTACTTGATTCTTGAAACACCCCCACATCTAACCCATCCATAGGAGCAGTGCTCTACTAAGCCCCATCTAGGATGCAGGAAGAGTGGGGTGTGGGACTGTGACAGGCCTCTTGCCTTTTTAGGCTAGACCCTGGCATAATATGTAAGGCTGGAAATTCAATCTACCTCAGGACTTACTCATTCCTAGGGGTCTCCAAGTTTTCTATAAAGTGTTTTACCCCAGAAAATGTCCACATGGTCACACAGTATGTGAGTGGGAGTGACTTTTTTTTTTTTTTTTGGTATTGGGGATTGAGCTCAGGTCCTTGTGCTTGCGCAGCAGGTGGCAAAACCACTGAGCTAAATCCCCGGCCCAGCAGGAGAGATCTTAACCACACATAGGAACTGAGCCAGAACATTAAAGCACCTTATTCCTTTCCAGCCACCCCACCACAGCCAACACCAAATACCTTTGGGTCATCAGTCTCAGGTTTTTCAGTCTCTGAATCGTCATCTTCCTACAAGACAAAGAATTAGATTAAGCTTAAAGGGTGGGCCTGAGAGGTCTCACATGCATAACTAGAGGTTGGAGCAGACAGCCACGTACCCAAGCAGGGCTATCCCACCAAGAACCCCTCCCCTATACCACATGACCCAGAACTAAAGAAAGAAGAGGGGGAAAGTAGATGTTCTGAGGAAAAAAACCATCAGCCGCTCAAAGTCAATGGTCACTCCAGTTGTACCACAGTCCACACCAATAAAAAGCCAGAGGTAAAAATCACATAAAAAGTTGAGAGAAGATGCAATCTGCTTCAGAAAAAAAGACCAGGCTACAGGATAAAACAGGGATATTGTGTCCACTGAAATATCAAGTAGAACCAGGATTATTTTTACTAATCCTTTTTCCCTTTAGTTCTACTAATCCCTTTTCCCCTAATTCCTTTGTTCCCCTTCTTTGACTTTCATAACCACAAATACAACAGACTTGGACCTATTTTTGACTGTTCAAAACATCAATGCTGTGACTCACATGCATCTACACTTCTACACTTCAACTCAGTGGCATTGGCACTGACATGAACACAATGAGGTGGGCACCAAATGACCAGACCAAGTGACCCAGGAAAGGCAGAACTAAAGGGCAATGCAGTTTTTCCTGGATCCCAATTGAGTGCGTTCTGCCTCCACCTGAGTGCTCATATTATTGCCATTGATCATTCTACCCAGCCTGTTCCTTAGCCAAATGAGGCCTGCCTGACTCAAAGTACCATGTGACTAAGGTATTCTCTGAAGCGAGCCCACCATTCCACTGAACATGAATGCTAATGCAATAAAGTTCAAAATTCAGGAGCAGACGCTGGACCATCTACTCTTAGCTAGCTAAACCCACATCACTTCCATCACCTGCAACACTCCCAATGTACAGAAGCCTTTAACTAAATGCCCAGGAACAAATGATGTCATTTGAAACTGTTATTTTCAACAAAGCTACACTTTAACCCAAACATGATGTACCCCTCCAGATGTTAATATAAACACCATCAAAGAGACAGGAACCAAGTATACTAATGATTTTGAGACTTAACTGCCAGTGAAATGAAGGTGTTAGATGTAATCTCCAAAATCTCTTTAAAATGAAATCAGCCAAATAATTACTAGTTTTTGGGGGGTTTTTTGGTACTGGGGATCGAACTCGGGACCTTGTGCTTGTGAGGCAGGTGGCAGAACTGCTGAGCTAAATCCCTGGCTGTCAGCCAAGTAATTAGAGATAGTGCTCAGCTGCATATGATCACATTTCAGAATATCTATATGGGATGTGATGAGAGGATTTTACTAAAATAAAAGCTGGGCATGGTGGTGCACACTTATAATCCCAGCACTCAGGAGGCTGAGGAAGATGGAATGCTGTAACTTCAAGGCCAGCATGAACTAGTGAGACCTTGACTCAAAAAAACAAAAAACAAACAAACAAAAGCTTAAATATGAAAAAATTCTAGCAAACCAAGATTTCACAAAAGCACATTATGCAAATGTATTAAAAATTATGGATATCCAAGCAGTATATATGCACCTGAGAAAAGTCACAGGAAAAGAAATTACAAAGCTTTTCTACAGAATTTCAGTCAACTCTAAATTATCAGCATTGAAGACTAGAGCTAGAGGGATCAAAGTGTCTCATGAAAGAACACAAAATACATTTCTGAAGGGCCAGGGATTTAGCTCAGTGGTTTCGACGCCTGCTGCACAAGTGCAAGGACCTGAGTTCGATCCCCGGTACCAAAAAAAAAAAAAAAAAAAAAATACAGTTGATTATAGATATACATGAAACACCAATTAGGATGAATATAATTACAAATGGAATAAACTATTTAAACAGAGAAATCCAATGTAAAACACCCACTGAGATCCAATTAAATAAAATAGTCCACCGTCCTGCCTCACAAATTTCAGTTCCAAAGTTCATACAAAATGACCCAGGTGAAAGCAAATGTAATTTTCAAATATAGCAGAACTACTGATATTCAACCTAAACAAATGGGGCAGAGGGATGAAGTTAGTTATGAAAAGGAATGCTGTTGGCCCAGTTCGAAAAGCTTCTGACACATGAAATGGTGCTTTGAGCAGCTCTGGATTTGAGAGATTCACCTACCGACTGTTTGCTGTTTTCATCTTCCTCTTCCTCATAACCATCTTCATCACCCCCTAGACGAGAAAAGTCATCCTCGCCATAGGCATCAGATACCAATCCACTTTTCTCTTCTGAAACAGAGGAGGAAAAAGGAGCAAAAATGTAAGAAAGCTTTTTAGTGATCTGAATAGCCAGGACTATTTCTGAAGATAAAAGCTTAACCTAAACCTAATGTAAGTGACCTCAAGCCCAGATTCTGCCTTTTGGGAGGCCACGTTTTCATGGATAAAACTATTAAAAAGAGAAGAAGCTGGGTGTGGAAGTGCACACCTGTAACTGCAGTGTTCTGGGAGGCTGAGGCAGGAGGACTACAAATTCAAGACCAGCTTGAGCAACAGAGTGAGACCCTATCTCAAAATGTAAAAAATAAACAATAAAAAGGACTGAGAATATAGCTCAGTGTGAAGGCCCTGGGTTCAATCCCCAGTACTGGGTGGGTGGGGACAGGAAAGAAAATTAACATTAAATTCTGCTTCTAATGCTAGGAGTGTAGCTCAGAGGCAGAGCACTTGCCTAGGATGTATGAGGTCCAGGGTTCAATTCCCAGCACTGAACAGAGGAGAACAAAACAAAAAAACTTAAGTTGTTAGTCCACCTATTACTCCAGCTGAAGCTCTCCCTTTGAACGATCAAACCATGTTACGGGCCAGGGATTTAGCTCAGTGGTTCCGGCGCCTGCCTCGCAAGGGCAAGGTCCTGAGTTTGATCCCTGGTACCAAAAAAACCCCCCAAAACAACACAAACCATGTTGCTTAGGGCTGGGAATTTAGCTCAGTGGTTTCGCCGCCTGCTGCACAAGCGCAAGGACCAGACTATGATCCCCGGTACCAAAACAAAACAAAAAAACCACGTTGCTTGAACACCTCTTGATACACATATCTCTAACTTGTACTATGGGCACCTATGACCTTACCTCTGCTACGAAACAAAGACTACTGATTTTTGTTCTGAAGTCCCTCACTTTTGGGAAAAGGAAACCCAAGACTTAGATACATTAGATAACATGCTCTGTCATCCCAAAGAAATCTCTTTCCATTCTAATATTGATTGTCAACCTGAGGAGGGGAATAAGATTATGGTTTTTTTGTTTTGTTTTGTTTTTTGAGACAGGGTCTCACTGTTCAGGCTGGCCTTGAACTCACTATGTAACCCAGGCTGGGTCTCGAACTTACAGCAGTCCTCCTGCCTCAGCCTCCCAAGTGCTGGGATTACAGGCGTGAGCCACCACGCCTGGCTACTGAGGGGTTTTAAAAATTCACAAAGCAGCAAAGTCAACTAAGAGCCTTAAATAACTCACAAATGTCCACATTCTATCCAAGACTTACAAAATTACTCACTTTGAAGGACCAGGCAGAAGCTCCAAGATGTGTTCAGGACACATTCCAAATTAAACGTTATCAATTTAACAAGACATAGACTTTATCACCCATCACACACATTCTACTCATCTCTCTTCCCCATCAAACAACTAGCCGAAAGGAATAGGTAGTGATGTCTTAGCAGTGGATACCTATCCTTTAGTCCATCCCTCTGCCCAGCACAGCTTCTCAAGAAGTTTCAGTAGAAAGAGTGGAAACACAGGGAGAATGCTCATTCTTACTACAAATTCTCTAATGTTGTATCTAAGCCAGGTCGACTGCGACTGTGCTTCCGGGTTCTGGGGCCCGATACATGGGACACAGTGAACATCTCTCCCCAGGCACTATGATAAGAGAGTATTACTCGGGGCAGACCCGATTCCCCTTTCCAGCTTTCCATTCAGAGCCTCACCAGCCGCGCTGCCGACAGCTTCAACTCCCGCCTCACCATCAGACTCCGGCTCTGAATCTTCCGCGTAAACTGCCAGAGACGACAGAACATTCTTCTTCCCCGCCATTTTATTCCCACAGCCCCGGCGCGGCTCACACCTACGATTCAAAAAACTGACTTCTTCACGGAAAGGCAACTTCTTCCGGCTTTCAGGAGGCCTTGCGCCAAAGTGAAAACCAATCAAAAAGACCATTTCTGAGCTTCGCCCGCCCCTCGTGAACGCTCTTGGATAACGTCGTCATCGCGCGACGGATATAAGGTTGTGTGGGTTTTCCCTGACTGGAATGCTAAGCGCTGTGGCTTCTGAGTTCTGGGTGTTGTATAGGGGGTCTTGGAGTAGTGGTAGGACCAGGGGACAACAGCGGCTGGGCCAGAGCCCTTTGCTCTTGGGCGGCTCACGGCCGGCTCTGATATCTTTGGGGCGAAGAGAAGGACTCAATGGCGGTGAAGGGAGAAAACTGGATCAGGGGCTCAAGAGGAAGGAGAGTGAAGTAGTTGGGATTCTGGGGCAGGCGGGGGAGATGAGTTGTTGTCGTGACTGCGCGTGTAGAAGTTGGACCTTAGAAAAACGATTCCACGTTCTCCAGACGATTCCGAAGACATTTATGTTTCTTCTCGTGATCTGATTTCTAACTGCTATACTGTGGGGTTGGATAGTGCAGTGTTTTTATTTTCACCGAGCGTAAAAGTGAAGGTGTTAATCACTCAGGAATCTATTGATTGAGGCAATTCGCCCGCAGCTTTACTACTTGAAACAAATATATTGCTTAAGTGCAAAATAGCAGATTTATATCTGCAGAAGAAAAATTAAAGCTGTATATAAAAAACAAAACAGGGTTCTCGTGCCAGTCTTTTCACCACCTTTGCTTTAACTTTTGGCCATTGCTTTTTGCTAAGATGAGCACCCACCCATCCTCCACTCCCTGTGACCCTGAGCGGCGAGTCCGGAGCACGTTGAAGAAAGTCTTTGGGTTTGACTCTTTTAAGACGCCTTTACAGGAGAGGGCGACCATGGCTGTAGTAAAAGGTAACATTGTCAAATTCCCTGCCTTTGAATTTCTGTTGGTTGTGCCATAGCACTGGAGAACACCCTCCTTCTGACCCTACCTTCTCACCCTTGGTCCATACTGGTTTTGGAAATCTTTTAAACTTATCAACCAAAGCTTGCACTTTTTTTCTTCTTGTTACTGGGGATTGAACCGAGGGCCTTCTCAATGAGCTACATCCCTTTATTTGTTTGTTTGGTTTTTGGTACCGGGGATCGAACTTGGGTCCTTGCGCTTGCGAGGCAGGCGGCGGAACCACTGAGCTAAATCCCCAGCCCAACATCCCTTTATTTTGAGACTGGGTCTAAGTTGCCAAGTTGCCCAGACTGGGCTTAAACTTGAGATCCTCTCACCTCAGCCTCCCAGAGTGCTGGGATCACAGGTGTGTGCTATCAGGCCCGGCTACACTTTGCTGGTTTACTGGCAGACCCACTCAGCTATTCTGGTTCTTACTTTTCATAGCCAGACCTACAAATTGACTTTTCAACAGTTCCTAGATTCCATTTTTGTTTGTTTCTATATGGAGAGTAGTGGGGATGGCAGTTAATAATCTAACCTGGTCAGTGACCTAAGTAATCCCCTTAATGAAGATTTAGTGGCCTGCATCCCAGATAGGGAAAGAAGTAACAATATTTTAAACTAGAAATGTGGTGACCAATGGAGGTTGTTGTCCAGAAGGAAGCAACAGTATAATATTAGTGATATGTTTATAAACAAAAGGCCTGTAAGTGATGTCCTTGCACGTCTACACAGATGTGCTCTCTCTCTACCAGTATTCTGGTTTCATGGCTGTTTCATTTAGTCACCTTTGTTTTTACTGCGATTACCAGAAATAATTTGCACACACTTCCAAATCTCCCAGGATCTCTTCCTTTTTCCTGCAAAGGATGTGAAGGAAATTAACACGATATTGAGACCCTCTCAAGTGCTGGGCACTGCCGGGTGCTTTTTCCTACAACTCATTTAATTTTCAACAACCTTAATGAAAAGGCCAGAAGCAATGAGATGTTATCTTCTTATATTTTTGCAGGTGACAAGGATGTCTTTGTGTGTATGCCCACAGGGGCTGGAAAATCCCTTTGCTATCAGCTACCTGCACTGTTGGCCAAAGGCATCACTATTGTAGTCTCTCCTCTCATTGCGTTGATCCAGGTGAGGCTTAGGGGAATGAAGATAGTAGCCCAAAAAGATGATGGGAAGTTTTTCTTTTATCTCCTTTATTTGATCTATGCTTCTTATTTTCTCTGATTTATCTGTATGAACCTCTGTGGTAGATGTCTAAATTGCCCAAATGTAGGTTTTTCCACTAGTGCCTTTGTATCACTCTGTGATTCGTGAATGAGTCTTCTATGCTTTGATCACCTGAAGTTCCTCACCGTCCTCTGCTCTTTTTTGTCCAGAGGATTATGGAATAGTATTTGTACATACACACTCTTGCTTTTACGTGTTTACACAGGTGCACTCAAGATGTTAGAAGATGCAAGAGGATGGATAACTATATTGATATGCAGAATCCCTGCCAACATGTTTTATTTTGGCAAGGGACTAGGTACATGATACAGAAAGATGAGAAATTGTTTGAGATCTTATTAATATATGCTCTGCAGATGTTCTGCCTATATTTAATGTCTGCAGATGGGCTTATAGAATCAGAATTAAGGAAATACGGCCACGTGATTAAGAGCCATTAGGAAAAAAGGTAGACTGATGGGGAACAACAGTAATAGTGAATGCTAACTAGATCTTAAGCTTTGTGCTAAGTGCTTTATATACATTCATTTCATTTTTGAGACGTAAAGTTTCACTTAACTCTTAACACAATTCTGTTAGTTACTGTTTTTAATAATTGTGAGAAAACTGAGTCTCAGTTAAGAAACAGCCAGTGAATGCTGGGTATGGTGGCTCACACCTGTAATCCCAGCACTCGGGAGACCGAGGCGGGAGGATTGCTGTGAGTTCAAGGCTTCGAGGCCAACCTACATAGTGATGTGCTCGCTTCAGCAGCACATATGCTAAAACTGAACTACATAGTGAGACCCTGTCTCACCCCCCCCCCGCAAAAAAAAAAACAAAAAAAAACCCAAAAAAAGTAGCCAATGAGCATGTGGCAGTTAAGTGAGCCAGGAATAGATCCAGGTTTGAGTCCAGAGCCTGTCCTCTCAACTACTTCCCCTTCCACACAGAGAAGACATATTGGAGGGTGAGAGGAAGATGTTTTGTGCTGGGGAATCTCTCAGGGAGTTGCAATAACATTTACCACTGGGTCTTGAGATCCAATTACACCCTTTCCTGGCCTTATCCCTTCCTGCTTTTAGGACCAGGTGGATCACTTGCTGGCCCTGAAGGTACAAGTGAGTTCTCTGAACTCGAAACTGTCAATGCAGGAGAGGAAGGAGTTGCTCTCTGACCTAGAGCAAGAAAAGCCTCAGACCAAGCTTCTGTACATCACCCCAGAGATGGCAGCTTCTACCTCCTTCCAACCCATCCTGAGTTCCCTTGTGTCCCGCCACCTGCTTTCTTACTTGGTGGTAGATGAAGCTCATTGTGTTTCCCAGTGGGGGCATGACTTCCGTCCTGACTACTTGCGTCTGGGTGCCCTGCGCTCCCGCCTGGCACATGCCCCATGTGTGGCTTTGACTGCCACAGCCACCCGACAGGTCCAAGAGGATGTGTTTGCTGCACTGCATCTGAAGCAACCAGTTGCCACTTTCAAGACTCCTTGCTTCCGGGCCAACCTCTTCTATGATGTGCAGTTCAAGGAACTGATTTCTGATCCTTATGGGAACCTGAGGGACTTCTGCCTCAAAGCTCTTGGACAGAAGACTGACAAAGGGGTGAGGCATTCACGCTGGGTGGGGGGCCAAGGTACTCTAGCATAAACATGGCATTGGTTTTTGAAGACCTTTAGTTTTCCTAGCTTCCTTAGCCAGGCTTCATAAACTTGTACACAAAGAGAGTTGTCCCTTTCATTACCTGGCATTGTGCTCTTCACTGGGGTACCTTTGTCCTGTATCCTTGCATGAAAGGCAAGCAGGCAGTTTCCATGTGAGCCCTTTGCAGACCTGCATAGGGTTTTCAGAGAGGAGGCAGAGGAGTTAAAGAGGTTAGATTTTAAGCTGCTTTGGTCCTGCTTTTTATAAAGTGGCAGAGCTCTGCTGAGTGACCTGCCTCAGAGGAGACTAGAAAGTTGACAAGAGAAGCACAGAGCTTCTTTTAAAGCAGGTGGTGTGGTAGTGGGCTGATTGTTCTTTCTTCCCATGCTTGTTTTCTCCCCGTGTTTCCCTGTTCAGTTGTCGGGCTGTGGCATTGTTTACTGCAGAACTAGAGAGTCTTGTGAACAGCTGGCCATAGAGCTCAGCAGCAGGGGTGTGAATGCCAAGGCTTATCACGCAGGTAAGGCCACGTGGTCCTTTTCACTCTCGGAGGCCACTTAGTGGTCTCTTATGGAGCCTGGATAATCAGGTGGCCCATTATCTTATGTGCGATCCTCATGTGGAGCTAAAATGATTGACTTAAATCAACAAAAAGGAGTCTAGACGTGAATGAGGGCTAAAATGACAGTTGTAACTTCTGAATTCTTTTTCCTACTCTGTGCTCACCCAACAGCAGGTGATGAGTTTTTATAAAGCCAAGTATTATTAAAAAAAACCAAACAAAAACAGGTTGAAAGAGTACAGGGTTTGGAGGCTAATGGACTTGAGTTTTAACTTTGGCTCTAACATTTACTGAATACTCTGTGCTTCACGTGAGCTATTAGCTGAGGCTCCATGAGGTTAAGTGCCTGGCCCAAGGTCATACAGCTGGGAAGAGATGGGCTCAGGGTGCATATAAAGTGCCCAGTACAGTGTTAAACCTAATACAAACCCCAGAAGGTAAACCCATGGGACATGTGAGTTCTTTTCTCCACAATTCCCCTCCTTTCCAGGGCTGAAGGCTTCTGATAGGACACAGGTGCAGAATGAGTGGATGGAGGAGAAGATCCCTGTAATTGTTGCAACCATCAGTTTTGGGATGGGAGTGGACAAAGCCAACGTCAGGTGAGCTGTGGTTCTTGCCTTACTTTCCTGTTGGGGCCTGGCTCGAGGGCTGCCTAGTGCTCTGCACAGGGCACATGTCCTCTG